TGTGTCCTCAGCAACATCTGTTTTTCTGGTATTCTGAATATTTAGCCATCGGTAAGAAAAGCCATTATTCAGCAATCGGTGAGAGAACTTCCTTTGCTTTGTCCTTGGATCTTTTGAAAATAAACTGTTTGTGTTAAATAGTCCGTGAAGGGACGTAAGAGAAACAAGGCAAACCATCTTGCCAGTAATAGCATAAGAAAAGCAAATGTGAACTTCGTTACTGTTGACTTCATCCAGCAGTTATTTGAGGGCTCGGGATTGAGGAAATGCAGACAGACGCAGCAAAACAGTTGGCTTTGGGTGGGCAGAGGTGTCTTCCTGGGTCACCCGCTGTTTCTGCAAACTCCTCAATTCTGAGGCTCACACTTTCCAAAATAAGTCAAGGGAGCTTTCTCTCGGTGGCACTCTGCGACTGCAGCGGAATCCCATCACCTCTCGCTTTCCTGTGCCCCGTGCCCTCTGCTGGGGTGCACTTGATTACTAGCTTGGAACCAGATGAGGAAGGCATGAGATAGATTTTCATCTCTCAGGGACTAACGCTAGCAGCCCCTTTTGACCACATGTGACATTTTAAACTCAAGAGTGTACTTGCGGTCTCATGAAGGGTAGATGAGAATTCGTGGCCGCATCCCTTACAGAAAAATCTCCCTGGCATGTGGTGTCCTCCCAGGAGTGACACTTTGGATGCCTAGGCATACCGTCTGCACCCATACCATAAACCTCTTCTGGCGGAGGCTCTACCAGAGAGCCTTTCCCAGCTTCTGTACCGCACATCTGTGAGCACAATCGCCAACAATGGAGACAGACACATCTGTCTTTGCACAGAGTCAGAATATTGAAAAGACCATATTGTCACAGGGTACATCAGTTTTATGAGCTCCGATTCACCAAGTAGTCTCGGTCTTCCTCCCTAGCAGGCTGTTGACATTTGTAGACTTTGACAGTTCCCCTACTTACTAGTATTAGCTCTCAGACCACAGGTCACATCTCACACAGTAATGCCTACAGCTGACTCCGAAGATGCTGGAGGACATGGAACTCACGGGGGTTCTCCTACAGGCAGCAAGGGACCTGGCACCCATGCAGAGTCATTGCAAGTGGTTAGATACAGAGGCCAGTTGAAAGCCAAGCCCAGATGAGTCAAGCCATGTGATTTAGTCCAGTAAGCTTACTGATAACAACTGTGGGTTCTGACCCTAGTACAGCGGTTCGGTTCTCAACCTTTGGGTCGTGACCCCTCCGGCAAACCTCCAACTCCAAAGATATTTACATTACAGTTTATAACAATAGCAAAATTTCAGTTAGGAAGTAGCAATAAGAATAATTTAATGGGTGTGTGGGGGGGTCACAATATGAGGAGCTGTATTAAAGGGCCGCAGCTTTAGGAAGGTTGAGAACCACTACCCTGGCAGCAGAAATGCCAGACCTGTGATGGAAGATGCAGGACTGGGTCCAGATGGACCAATGGCAGCCAAATAGAATGGACTATAGTGGAAACCTCTAGACAGCTCTGGGTCCTGATATCCCTTGTCACGCTTCTGGGGTTCAGGTGACTGGTCAAAGCCTGCTGACGTCAGTGTCCGGTGTCCTTTTCAGGGTACTCGGGTGAGAGTTGAGGTATAACCAGCAAGCTCTCGGGTCTGGCTTTTCTGATAGAATTTTAACACCCATGTGTCAACCCACATAGTCCCTGCCTACTTTGGGAAGCTGGCAGGTAGCATGGTAGGTAACAGCCTTTTCCTTGGAAGGATAAATTGCTTACCAGTCCATTCCTCATGGTTCACGTGGAACACGGTCGTGTCTGTGCAAACAAGACATGGCATCATTGTGTCTCTACTGCTGTCAAAGGGGGCAACTCAGGGCAAGGCCACCCAGAAGCCATTGCTTTGCATAATGTAGAGTAGCTTGAAGCAACCCGAGCTCCACACTCAGCTGTCTGTGCCTTTCTAAATTAAAGCAGACGAGTGCTAACCACAGCACCCATTGTTTTAATGTGCAAAAATCTACCTCAAAACGCAGTTTTAAAAATGGATCATTGCACCCAGAGGTGAGAGGGTTTGTGGGGCTCAAGAATCCAGTGGCAGACCATCTGGGTGTCCATGGTTAGCTCTGGAAACCTGGAAAACTCTTTCCATGTCTGCAGGGATGAGAATAAGCCGGCTGTCAGGTGCCGCTTTTAGTGGCGTTCACAGCGGCCCACTTGACCGTTTAGATCACGAAGACGTAAAAGCAAAGTGAGGTTTCTGAAGAAACAAATTTCCAACCGTCTGGCAGGTGAACTGTAGCTCAGACTGGAGGTGGATCAGCAAAAGACTGTGAACATCAGCCTCGCCCACTGCTTTCCCAGAAGGACCTTCAAGGTTCACTACCTGTGATTAAAATCACCTTACTTCCTCTCTTCCAGTATTATCCGCTCCCTTCCTATAATTTCCACGTTCTTTATAGTCATCTCAATAAATACTTTGAAAGCACCACCTTGCTAAAAACACATGCTGCATTTTGAGGAAGGTTCTTGCATTTATGGAAAAGGGATGCGAATCTATAAAAGGGCAGGTGCAGTACTTCTTCTACCCAGCAGATGGTGCACTCATCCCAAACAATCAGACTGAAAGCGGTTCCCTGGGCTTAGGATTCTGTTTATCAAATTCTTTGAGTAGAAGCAGAGTTTGATACAACTCTTCATAAGATTAAAAGTGTCAGGCAACTTTCAGTTCTTCATTTTCCTGAAATGTACAATCTTTCCCCATACAATGAACGCTTGCGTGAAAACTTGCATTGAAATTTCCAGTTTCCAGTTAGTTCCACACATAAAGGTTTTAAGTTTATATATATACACACACACAGACAGACACACATATAGACAGCCACACACCAACCTATGGATGATCTTTTGTGGGACAACACTAAATAAATGTTGATTTGAAATGGGTCAACTCCTCCAGCATTGAATGGTAACTTTAGAATGAGGGGACCACATGTTCGTATGTAGCACAGCACTAAACTGAATGGTGAACACACCCGCACCCGCACGCATGCACGCACGCACACACACCTCCCTAAAAAGGATTAGCTTCATTCCCGCAATTGGCAGACACTCGCCTCCGGCCCAGGAAGAGAGCAGGAACCTGCTGCGCTCTGTCCGTGTATTCCCTCTTGGAGGAAACAATTACTAATGTCATTTTACACGAGTCCAAACACAATGTTCATTGTTTAAAGAGACAAAAACATGAAAACCATCTGCTACTGTTTGCGGAGTTTATCACTTGATGGATTAGAGATGTCACGAGCAGTCATTTTCTGCTGGTACTGCGAGACAGGACTCCCACCGGCTAAAGAAAGCACTGACTCACATGACTAAGCTGAAGGTTACAGAAGACTAAACATTTATTTAGAAGTTACAGTGTTTGTTTTTACAGAGATATGTTGCCACAGATTATTGACTCTGGATGGTCCTTAAGGTTTACAGTGCTGTACACATCTGGACCTTTTCTCATGGCATCTTGAAAATGTGTCCTGTGCCACCAAATCCAAGTGGCTTTCCTGTGGCTGTTTCCCTTGTGCTGGCTCTTTGTGAGCGGGGCACTCAGGGTCCTTCTGCCAACAGCCTCAGGCAGCTGCAGGTTCCGGGGGCATCTGAAGCCTGTCAATCTGTGCCACTGGACTTGAGTTGTCTTGCTGCTTGCTTTCCTCCTTGTGCCATAAAGGGGAGGTTTCCCTATCTCTCCAGAATTATAGAAACACATATACATTTATTTACAAGTGCATAAATATATAAATATGGCTATAATAGAAAAATAAATACCAATTTTCTCTGTCTCTTTGAAAACAACAACAATATATAGTCTTTCTGGGATACTGGCTTCAGCCTAAATTGTCGGGGGTGGTGTTTCAAAAGACACGTGAACTGATGGGCTGGGAGAGAGCCGTACCCCAAGTTCCTGTCCTGTGTAGGAAGGGTGCTGGGGACACCAGTCTCCTCCACCCACTTGGCAGGAGTCAAAACTGTCTACTTCTTCAACTGGTACAAGGCCCAAACAGCACCGGGGCCCTGCGGGGAGAAAAAAGTAGGCAACATTAAAATCTAGACTGTCCAGTCTTGAGCTAATTCATTTTCATCTGTGGCTGCCACAATGGTCACACTGGTCCCACTGGTCACACTGATCACCCTGGCCAGGAAGGAGAGGACCACTGACTAACCACCTATGTTGGGACCAGAGGGTCTGAACAGCTTTACAGTGCTGTAGAGTCTAAAACACGCTGCTTGTGGCCATCGGCTATATGCATGAGACACAAAGGGACTCTTTCTAGGGTCAGGCGGTGGTTCTACAAGCCATTTGCCTTGTCCAGCCGAATTTTATTTTCACGACAATTGGTCTGACTCTGGGAGCTGAAGCTCTTTTAGAACTTAATGTCCTAGAGATGATTCAGGATCGACATGGAATGGGCACGTACATCCCAGAAGCTAAGGGACACCATCTAATCCTCTGAAGTACCAAGCGCCCCCAACCAAGTCCTGGTAGATTGGCTTGAAGTTGGGTACAGCGGGAACCACGGGCGCGGGCGGCCCCTGGAAGAACAAGTTCGGTGAAGCGCACGGTCCAAGGGTGACGTGTGTATGAACACGGTTCCCTGATGACTGATGAGAACCACTCCCCAGTTAAGACATGACTCAACAGAGCAAGGGATTAGAGAGGCTGCCACGTGACGAGAGGCAGAATCTGCGAATGGCCCTGAACCTGAAATGGAGGGACCAAACAGGTTTCCTCCTTTGGAACTACAGAACGCCTTTCTTCTCTGCCTTTGAGGATCACAGCGGCAGTGGAATCAGACTGACGTGGCAGCACCTCCCCCCTCCCCACCTCCCCAGGCCCTTAGTAGCAAAGGGGAGCAGCCATTCACCCCAACTCCAAAATGCTTCCTTGAAGACAGCGGTCCCTTTTCCTTGAAGC